CTTAATATCTTCATTAATTTGAAGATTATTAATCTTGCCTTTGAGAGAACACTTATTAGAGTAATGCCCAGATTTTTGACATTTCCAACAAGTAACATTGTTTTTTCTTGAAAATCTTTTCTTTTGGAATAATTTTTTGAATAAGAAGGGTTTTGAAAATATTTTTCTTTTGAATAAACTTTCATTTTTGAAAATTCTTTTCTTTTTGTTTTTGAAGGAGGAGTAATTTTTTCAAATCCATATTGTTCACAGAATGATTCAAGTTCTTTGCGACTGTCTAATCTTTCTGTTTGCAATTTGGATTTAAGCTTGAGTTCATCATAGAGAACTAATCCTTCTCTGTTAATGAAACAAATCAATTCTCCGTATGAAAGATCATCATATGGAATACTTTTTGAATATTCTTTTTTGATAGAATTTTTGACTCTTTCAGAAAATAATTTTGGAAGTCCGTATAAAAATCTTTCTTTCCAATAAGCTTGATTACAGTCTTTTCGCAAAAATACACGTGTTAAAAACATGTCTTTATACACGCGAAAATCTTGTAAACTTGAACAATTTAGAATTAACAAAATACTTGAAACTTTTTCTAGAACATCTGTTGGAGATCCAATAAAATATTTGACAATACAATAAATCAATGTATTGAAACTATCACTTGTACCATTAGGTTTGAGAGATTGAGCAATTTGATTTTTCTTTTGTTTAGAAATATAGTTAAACCACAAATTATTTAATTGGCCAGCAAAACCTTGAACAATATTGCCAGTTGACTCAACTGAAGAAATTCCTTCTTGAATGTAAGCGTTATAATAAGCACCCATTCTTTCAAAAATTTCGAAGGTTTGATATTCAGTTAAACCATCTATATTTCAGATAATTATACCTGAACCAAAAAATGTTGTAGGCATTTTAGCCTTTTGTTCGGTAAGTAAATCTGGTGAAGTATTTTTTGGATAATAAGGAGGAACTTTTGAAAAATTGAACTTTTCTATTTTGAAGTTTATTGAATTGAGGAACTTCATCATCAATAAATTGAGATTCAATATCATCAATAGTATTGATGTTATTTGAAGTAGAAGGTGTTGATATTTTTTTATAACTGAGTAGCAAGTTCTGTAAAAACATTAATATCAGTTTTGAGACCATTTTTTGGTTTAGCTTCATGCCTGTTAATTAAAACTGGCTCAATAGGCTTAATACCTTTTGAAGAGGATGATGTCTCAGGTTTAGAATTTATTTCAATTCTATTAAGTTGAGAACAAAGAGATTGAAGAACTACATTAGTGTAGTTATTTTGAGCTTGAATATTTTTGATATCTTTAACAACTTGAGATTCATCAGGTCATTCTTCAGATACCTTTTTGAAAGGAGAAGCAAGAATTTCTGTATTTCCAAGTGGAACTACAATCTCTTGCAAAGGAGGATGAGAAGATTGAATATTCTCACCAGAAGGAGTTTTCCAAGTCTTTTGTGGAATATTTGAAGTTTGAATAGAATTTTTCTTCTTTGATTTTGAAGAAATCTTTGAAAAAGTAGATTTTTCATTGAAAACTTTGAAATAAGCCCATTCATAAAAACTTAAATCTTCAGGGAATTCTTCAAATTCTTCCCAATAAGATGCTCGTTCTTCTTTTGAAAAACTTTGACGAAATATTTTTCGAAAACTTTTAATATCAGAAGTTTGATCAGTTTTAAATTCATTTCTTCTGTCAATCCTAGAGAAATAACATTTGTTTGATGATCAAGTCATTCATTTTGAGTAGAAAACATGTCAGAAAAAGTTGGAGAAGCATGTTGTTTTGATTCTTCTTCATTTTCTGTATCTTTTTCAGAATATAGAGGTTTTGGAATATTTGGAGTAAAATCAACACTTAAAAGAGAAGATGTTGAAAATCTTGAATATTGATAAGAAGATCTAGGTTTTTCTTCAAATCTCTAAAACCTAGAGGAATATCTTTTGAAAGTCATTTTGATGTTTCCATTTGGAAAAGTAGGAATTTGATTTGAAATTGTTTGAATAGGAGTAGGAATAGGATTTTGAACATTTTCAAAATTTCATTCTAGTCCACGACTTTGAAGATTTCAAGGAATTCTCTTTGGAATCATGTAGTTTGAATGAAAAGGATTACATTCAACCAAAAGACTTTCATCTTTAGGAGATGAACGTAAGGCACCAATATTGAATTGAGTATTCATGAGCTTGTAATATATCCTGTATATTACAGCAAAAGCATTTGAACGACCATCGAAATCGAGATTTTTGATTTGAATATGGAGATTTAGAGCACTAAGAATAGCTCCATCATTGAGATTAATTGAAAATTTTGGATAACAATTTAAATAAATTGGACCACTTTATAGATTTGACTATAGAACAGATAATAATGAATTTTCAAATTTGAGAAGTCTCTTATCTAGAAGAGTCAAGAAAATTGGAATGTCTAACCCAAGTTTAAACAAAGGTTTGACAGTAATTTGAACTAATCCAACAGGAAGATACTTGAATTTCTTGTGGGATTCAATTGATTCTTTTGAAAATAGATTGATATGAGCATTTTGATTTTTAATTGATAATATTTGTTCAAAAATTTTGATAACATAATTTTGAGTAAAATCAAACTTTCCAATTTCATAAATAGAATTCTAGTCTACCTTTGGAATTGTCCAGTTATGCAATCTTTGTTCTATTTGAGCAATTTGATGTTCATGACTATTGAAATCATTTGATGTAGATGATGCACATGACTGATCAATTTCTTCTTCATTTTGAAAAACATTTGAAATATTTTCAGATCTATTTCTAGACCTCTGAAATCAATTTGAAAAAGAGGACATAATTAAATTCAATGAAATTATAACAATTTACCACAATAAAAATAGTTAAATAAGATAGACTGATTCTTACTAAGCCTACAAACGGGACCACCTCAACAAGCCTTCCCCGGCTAACAATGGGCTGACCAACGTCTATTCAGTAGACATCCTGGAATCAAATCAGGTTCTCTTATTTGAACAATGCCTAGGTGATAAACTACTACAATCTTAACGCGGGTTGTGTTTCTTCGAAAATATGAACACCATATCCATTTAAAATAAATATAATTTAAATTATGCTTTTTCAAGAGCATTGAATTAATATTATATTATGGAATATTAAAATTCTAATATCATGCTCTTCATGAGTAAATAATATTTTCTTGGAATATTAATTATAATGTTTGTACTACTTTAGAAATAATAAAATATTTGTAATAGATAAATTTACAAATAATATTCTTTGTGCTACTTTAGGAACATCAATAAATTAAAAACGAATTCAATAATGGATAATTTATTGCTAAACATAAAAAAAATGACGATGAGTCATTAAATTGCACTCCAAAGTGATTACGATAATAATTTAAAAGCACATGTGAAATATTGACGACAAATGTTGTTGATTCCAATCAATTGCAGCAATAATGGATGAATCAGTGCTCAGATTAAAGCCCAAAGCCACAAGGTAATACCACACAAATTGAACCAAGAATCTCCTATCGAAAACACGAAGGAAACCGCCTCAGGGTCTTAAAGAAAATAGCCAAAATCGGACAGCACAAAGAGGCCGCAAGCAGGAGGAGTAAAATCGAGCATATCTACAGCAATTTCCAGGTACAAATGTTGACAACAGTCACCGACAAGGGGGAAAATGAGGCTGGTCACATGAAGAACCTAAGGTAGCCACGTGTTTGGGAGACTGCCAATGATATTGAGACACAGGCCACATTAGAATAAATTTCATTCTTCTGTGAAGCAAGGTGGCGTGTTTATATTAATAAAGACCTCAAATTGGTTAGAGATTTTGAGAATAAAAAGAGGAATAAATTTTGCTAATTCAATTGACCAGAATTTTGTGAAAAGAGAGAAAAAGAGAAGAAAATAGAGAACGATCAATAGACTTGTGTTTATTTTATTAAGAACCTGAACACTATATTTATAGGTAAAAATCAGGGATACAATGGTAATAATTTCTAGGGTTGTTGCGGTAAAATTGTCATTCACTAACAAACCTTAATAAACTTACCATTTACAACAAATTATTATTTATTAATCACAATTTAAGTTACATTATTCTCTTATTTAAATATATAAATTTATAATTTTAGAAAATATAATATTAATTTATGACATGATTTTTTTCCATAAATTCTTTTTGGGTAAATTCCAGTTGAGATTCCCAACCTTTTATCTGTGACATCTAGGTCGCCAACTTAAGTAAAAATTGCTCAATTCATTCACAACTCATCAAAAAATATTATTTAAATGTTTGTTCGGAAGAGATTATTTAAAGTGAAAATGATTTTTATTTTTTGAAAAATTATTGGTTAAGAAGTAGGGGGGGAAAAAAAACCTACGGATCAATGTGCAGAATTTTTTTATTGGAGAATGCAAATAATTTTAAAAAATAATTTTCAAATAAACTATCACGTGACACTTACTGTGTGATGTCTCTTAAAAGGGAAAACCCAAAGGACCGAACTACTTAACAATAATGGGTGACATCGGAGTTGACACAACACACACATATGGGAGGTTGGGATTATTTTATTCAGGCAGGACCCACATTGGCATATGAGGGCGCGATCATTCATTGTGTCAACCATAGTGTTCATTTGGCATTTTCCAAACCCAAACTACTTTCTCTTTTTATTTATTTATTTATTTTTATTTTTATGGCTCCGCTGTAAATCTCATTACCCTGCATTGTATCAGAGCTTATTGTCTAGGTTTGAACAATTTTAATTCATCCGGTTTACAATTCATCAGGATCATCGAAAATAGTACAAGCTTAGATGATCCATATTCGTAGATCACCGCAAATATTCCTCTTACGACAAGAACACAGTTTGATTTTAACCACATAGAAGGTACAAACAGAATACGGGAAAAAAAAAAAAAAAAGGAACAATGGGATAACTTGCCTCCAGATATAGTAGTAAACTTCTGTTAAAACGTAATTAGGTAAACTATATAATAGTATTTAGGCTTTAAACAGGAATAATTTCCACTTTTTATGTAGAAGTACGAGTAAGATAAATCCCAAAATTTGAAGCCATATTAAACCCTTCAAACTTCATGAAAGCTATTACAATGCAAAATACCTAAAAGTTTATCAATATTTGGTTCATACACTCTGCATCAGAGTTTCCAGCTGCCTAGTGTTTTCAGCTGATCCAACAGAAACATTATGTGCTGACAGATTTTGTTGCTCTTGATTGTTTTGACGTTGACTATGTTGTTGATGATTGTGGGGAGGCGGGTTCTGATGGTGGCGCCGGTGGTGTTGTTCTCTTTGCTGATGATGCAATTGCACACCGCCATTTATATTCTGCTGGGAAGCCTGTGGATGACGACTTGCTCTCCATCGCAAATACTCCACAAGAAGTGAATTAGTACTAATTGCAATTCCAAAACCCGTGAAAGAAGAAAGCAGCACGGATAGAATAGCATTTACGTTGAGCTGCACATTTTGAAGCACGATATCATGTTATGATTCCCAGTTCTGAATGTTAGATTAGATGGAATTAACAAAACAATATCCCGAAAGCCAAAAATGAAAATGCAAAACAGAAAGGACAGTTTACATAAAATGGAGGAAGGTTTACTTACCACGGAATAAAATATATGAGCGAATAGGATCACTATTGCAAACTGAAATGACGCATAAGCCCATATGTAACTCTTGCTCACTGCCAAGTGTGAACAATGAGACGAGTCATTCTAGTTCTTAATCCGAACATTGATCTTTAAAATAATAGAAAAAAAAAATGAAAGAGAAAAGACGAGATATATACTTGAGACCATAGCAAATAGAGTGTGATAATTTGACTTTGGGAAATACACTTGAGATATAAAGGGTGAATTTGACTTCGGGATCACCTGACTTGTATATTTTTATCTCCAAGAAATGAGAGATGCTTTTGCAGCTCTATCTTTGCATAACAAATTCAAACAATAAAGCAAGCCCCAGAAAGAATAAACTATTTTAGAGCACAATGCATCTGATTCAAAATTTTACTTGAGTACTGAATTTAAAATTGCTCTCACACGGGTTTAATCAATCATCAGAGTTCAGGCATAAATAATTTTTGTTGATAAGAAGTTATGTTGGTAATCCAAGACAAATTTGGCTAATAAACATGCACATGCACATGCACATGCACATTTGGATACAATAAACAATTTTGTTAACAAAATCAAATTCCGTCTGCATTTCTCTAATCAGCCTATCCTCTTAATTGCCAAAATAACAAAGTACTATTTTCACAGCCAGAATCAACATGATTTTCAGTGTAGGCAATTTCATCCTGACGTTCTTAAAAGTCTGTCTACATCAACCCTTTATTAATTTGAAGAAATAAAGGAAGCATTGAAAAGTTTCAGTCTCTCAGTAGATAAGCTACAATGGAGCGCAATTTTGTTGAGCAAACTCACTACTGATTTGTATATTTCTTCTACTTTGAGGAAAATGCATATTGCCTATCTATGCTCAAGGAAACCTGTTGATTATCCTTTCAGGGTCTGAATACGAAACTTACACCACATGTGTTCATATACCATACAAATTTCCTCCCCCGTTAATTATTATCTCATCAGATCCTCCCGCATTCATTATTATCTCTTCAGAATTTCATGCGCACAAGTTTTTCTATTACATATGCAATTGAGATTTTCCACAAGATCTATGGTTTCTTAATTCACTCTAGGTGATTCTCAATTTTCACATCATATGAATTCCAAATGCATGATCCTTTTTGGTATTCCATCAGATAGATTAAATAAAGAATTTAACATAAGAAAATATCTCATTTACAATAGGTATAAAGACATAAAAGAATGATAAATACAGTACTTATAGAATGAGTGCAGGAAACGAGAACAATCATTAAATCTTACCCATAGTAGAAGCTATCAAGGATGAAAGAAGACCCAAAACACAAGAGAAAGGCAGAGAGATGGCAAGAGCTCGAGGTCCCATGTCGGACACCTGTTTCAGTTCAGACCACTAAGGACAATGACAAGCACAAATCAAATTTAACAGCAAGAACATTTACTGAACATATGCATACACCACAATTGTAAGCCACAAAATTGTTTAGAAATGTGATAGACCCCCAATCAAGTATACCCATTCTAGTAGGATCAAGAACAATTGAGAAGAATGTGCAGCAACAAATTCTGTAATAGCAGGCTGGGGTGGGCAAGAAGTTAGAAAGGATCTATAAATAGAGAGACAACTGGTAGTGGTAGGCAGGTGAAATTTGAGAGTTGAAGAAGAGTAGTAGGGAGAATAGTTTCTTCCTGTTTGTAGCCCTCTTATCTGTAATCGTTTCGTTCCCCAAAATTCAATAAGAAGTTGTGTCACTTATTTCCCTGCTCTTCCACTGCAGCACATGATATGATTCATCAGTACAAGTTCCATCTATCTAGTTGATATCTATAGCCTATAATCTATGCTATGACAAATATTGCCTTCTTTTTCAATCCCCAATGACAATACACAATCTCCATTGCTTAGCATGCTCTCTCTACATTGAAATCTCCATGGTGTCTTTCAGTCCCTGCATTAGCCTGCCTTTCACTCTTGCTGTATTACGATTTGTGATGGTGTGCTTTAGCATGCATAGCCCTCGACACCGAGGCACTAAATACTATTGTTATCCGCATATATGTTACGTTCAAAAATTCTAATATGTCAATGCAAAATAGAAAGTTTCTAGAGATGACATCTAATGGGAAGTTGCATTTTATGTATTCATATTTAATAGTAGTATCTCATAAAACCTATGAAGATTGTCTCTTTTAGATTGGAGTGACAGTTGTTATCTGCCTACAAATTACATACAAAATTCTAATGTAATGTGAACTTGAGAGCATGAAAAAAGAAGGTTCAGAAAATGATATCCTACACTAGATGAAATCGAATGGGAAAATATTCTGTCTTAAGTTCATTTATTCACCATAATTAAAAGTAATGTCACGATCCAATGAAGATTTTATATTTCTCTTTCAACGTACGGAGGGATCAAAAGTATTTATATGGAGGCAAGAGAAGCAGTAAACTAGAAAAATGAGTTTCAGTAAGTGATCATTGAAATAGGTGACAAGCCAGATGCCCTGCGTACATAAACACACACATACACAAACAAACATGAAAAATGAAAGCTAAAAAATTACCAAAAGCTGTTCTAGAAAGCAGAAATAGGCAAGCACGCTGACCATTACAAGAACAGGAACATCTTGCCAGACCCTGCAATGAATGGAAAAAGAAAAATGTAAACATTGACTTTAATGTAGAGAAAGCATCAAACTATAGGTCATATTGTACTTGGGCTCTGTAAATTTCCACCATTAATGAATTAATCTAATAATAATTTTCTATTGGGAACATATTATAATTAAGAAATCAGAAAACGCAAATAAATATTAACAGCGCATTAACATGGGTGGGATTTAGATAAATCCACAAGCGAACACTTATGAAACTGCAACCTTCTTGATTTAATGAAAATCATAAAAGGACTTACTGATACACTTTAGAAAATATTTTTAAGGTCTTGTCTAGTGATTAATTCATAAACTGATGATTGGAATGAGTCCATGTTAGTTTAAGCTCATTAGTATAGTTTATGCAGTTAAATACATAATTTCTGAAAAAGGAGATCCGGTTGTGCTTTTGATGTCACAATAGTATTTGGTTGTAAACAAAGTTAGAATTTTCAAGGTTAAGCATGGTATTATTACAAACTACACTTTGAATTGACGTCTCAGATTCAGCAGTGTCAAAAGCAATCAGAGGTGTAAATCTCATAAGCATAAATTTCAGCACCACTTTTAAATCAAACGCAAGAATTATTAGCCAATTCTTTTTCGCTCATAGCAAAAACATTAGGAGATTGCTAAAATATTAATCAAGGAAGAAAGGCTAAAATTTACAAAACAAATGCATGTATTTGCTTAACTTGCCTGTATCGAGTTATTTCCCTCTGTTGTAGTACAGCTGCGGACCTTCTCACAACAGTTGGAGGATTTTGAATCTTCAACAATGTGACCGGAAGGTTACGGACATCCTGCTTACAAACATCACAGGTTTTGTTACCTTTGATGCTAAACCACTTCACGGCACACTCCTTGTGTGCAAGTGCAAGATCTCCTTTGCAACTGCACTCCATCTTGAGCGTTTCACCTCCTTCACCAAGCTCGACAAAACAAATTCTGCACACAGCTTCTTCTTCTGGAATGTCTTCACCAGAATCATCCTGGGCTGTGTATAGGTAACATATCATAAATAACCAATACAATAATTTGACAAAATAAAGAGAATAAACAAAATAGAAAGTGATATAAACAGATAGATCATACATTAGGAAGAGGTAGTTTCAGGTTAGAAATAGCTGAATAATTTATTTGATTCAAGATATGATCCAAGTCAAATTCACAATCTACGATTTATCAGAAGGCTAAGAACCACTAATAAACATAAACATCTACCAATGAGGCGATTGTTCCATGAAAAAGAACAAGGTAATAAAGGTCCTTTTGGAATTTATGCTTAGTGCTTTTCATTGCTAATATGTTTGACCACGTACATGAAATGTGATTCACAGCATATGGATATTAATGTTGGATTCAACATTCAAAAGAATCACAAATATATACAGATGTTGACACCTTCTGTTTCTGGGGATATATCTGGGGAGGCATCGTCATTTGTTGTAGACCGCTGGACTGCTGATATTACACGTATCAAACCTCCAGATGAATCTGTCTGCCTTAAACTTCTGGTTCTAACATTTACAGGAACTGAAAATGAGCGTGTCATATGCTTTCGAACTTCATGTTTCTGTTAGGAAACAAAGTTTAGTTAAAATGATTGAAAACACAACAGATGAGCAGAAAACAGAAGTACACTTTATGTAGCTAGTAACCAATTATAAGGAAATGGACTTACAGGTAGCTTAGAATGGCCATCCACATGATTTTCCTCCAAGGGCTTAGGTACAGCATTTGCCATTGGTGTCACGGGTAAAGAATGGGTTTTTGTTGATGAAGAGAATAAAAATTTGTTAAGAGAAAATGACCTTGAAGTTGAAGGCTTGTCCGATATTGGTGTATCCGGGATAATGAGCACTGTTTTCTCACCTTCCTGAGTTGGGTGTTTACCCCTGACACTCTTTTGGGGAAGTATATTTTTAACAGATGAAATCAATCTTGCAGAGTTTGGTCTAGGGGGCAGTCCGGCTTTGGTAGAAGTAGGACTTGGAATATCTATTTTTGCAAAATCATATAATGTACTCTCCAGAGACCGCACAGGTATTTCCAAAGATGAGAGGTTTGGCCGTCTTGTATTCTGCTGCATTAAGGTGGCTTCTTCTCTTTCTTCTTTCTAATAACATATATGTGCAAGGTCAAAATCCTTTTAACATTTGGATGCATCAATAATCTTGTATTCAATAAAATGGATTTCGAGACCAAAGTGATGAAAACCAACTTTATATATACATTGAATGACCAAATGAAATTGAACTAAAAATATTTTCATACTTTGATGCCATATTAACAGACCATCAAATCTAAAGCAAAATATGATAGACAGTACCATTATATTTTATTTTTATCTTCAAGAATTTACAACCAAGAATCAAATATAATCACTTATCACATTTAAGCCTGCTAGAAGAAAATCCATCTCTTTATGGTAGTTATTTGTGAAATAGAGCAATGGTACTAAATAACCTAAGCCACCACCATGAAAATACAGCAATGGTACTAAATAACCTAAATATTTCGTAATGATCTAAGTGATGATGCAAAAACTAAAAATAGGAATTATGGAAATTGTATATTTCCAGTGATGTTATTTGTTGCTGTTTCTCTTCCAATCTATTTTTAATTTCATCGATAGAGAAACAGACACTAAAGTAATTCCTGTCACTATTGACTCTTTCTAAGTAAAGCCTTTCTAAATAAAGAAAATCACTGTCTTTTTCATTGGATTAGTCAATAAATACTGAAACCCTTCTTAGCTGCTCCTCTCCTTTTCTCTGATCTCGCGGAGCAGCACATGGTGCACCAATCTCAATTAAAACTACAGCAAATACGTCAAATTCTGACCTCTTGGATACTTTTAAATTATTAATTATAGATTTTTCCTCAAAAGACATCAGATCGTGAGTGTATTTTGTAAATTCAATGGAAAATAAAATTATAAACTGCAAATGAAAACTAATTAAAAAAATGATCTGTTATTCGAGTCTTAGGATTATTATAAAAACACACAGATTTCCTGCCCAAAAATCCCACAAAAAAATCAATTACACACACCACCAATTACTTGCATATACAAGCTAATTACACCCAGAGAGTCAGTAGAGAGCTTCACCTGATTAAAATGGGGATGGGTTTTATTTCTATCATCTTCTTGAGCTGATTGATGCATTGTTTCAATACAAATATTGTCCTCCATTTCTATTTCTATTTTTTAGTGTTGATAAAGAACTACAGAAACCTTAAAATATCATTCAAATTGACATTGAAAACTGTGTCTGAACTTTGAATAGAAAGGAGTCAAATTCTGTTTGAGTGAAGCTGAATCAAAACAAAAAAGGTGGAAACTTGAGGGAGAAAATGATGGAAACGAAAAAAGCTCCTTTCTTTTCTTTAACTTAAATTATTGTATTGATACGTAATTATGAGTATTTAATTATTTAAACGGGGATCCTTCTTTGCTTTAACGCCGATGTTAATTAATAATTTAATTAAAAAGATACGATCCATTTTTGTTTATTTCACTGGAATTACAAGCCAACGTTGTTTCCTGGTACAGGGTTATATGGAGCTCGGTTCACGGGGGCCTGGCCCCCTCACTGTTTTGGGTTGAGCCCCACACGTAATAAAAAAAAGAATTGTGGGGTCCGTCCCCACCTCTTTCTCACCTGGGGTTGTGAGGCCCTTCAGTGTTTTGGGTCGAGCCCCACACATAATAAAAAAAAAAAGAATTGTGGGGTCCATCCCCACCTTTTTCTCACCTGAGGTTGTGAGGCCCCCTCACTGTTTTGGGTCGAGCCCCACACGTAATAAAAAGAAGAATTGTGGGGTTCGTCCCCACCTCTTTCTCACCTGGGGTACGTGCATCATTTTTCAGGTTATATTCCTTTTTTTGTTTCTTTTTATATTTAAAATAAAATTGTATTCTTATTGTAAATTGAGAATGCCAATATAACTTTTCTTTTTGGTGCAATACAGCAAGAAAACACATTAAGGGACAGAAAAGTGAAGCTTCTCATTGCTCATCGTATCTCTTCCTCCAATAATTGCGTGGATTTTTATTTTCATGTTTAAAAAACTTAAAACTGATAATATTTAATTTTTTTTATTCAGTTTAATTTATTTAGAAATGAAAATTATGTCAATTAATTAAATTTATTAAGTATCCTTTTTAATTTACATAAAAGAAAAAAAAACTTTAAATCTTAATTTTTTTGTTGTTATTACTATCGCACCTTTTCAGCAGTAAGAATAATTATCTTTTTATTTTAATAATTTATTTAATAACAGGATTTTGATCCATGATTTAAATTTATTTTTGATTATTTCGACAGAAAAATCTGACGTAAATATTCATTTGAAAAAAGTATTTGGAGTAAAACTATAAAATTTCTAAACCTTTGGAATCTCACCTAAACTCGTTGGGCAACCGTCTCACCTGCCGCTGCAACAAACCACAATTTTCAATGCTAGTTTTTTTTTTAATTTATAGTGTTCCATTCTCATAAGTATGTTTTATTGGTGACATTTTAGATGTTTTTTATTTTGGAATAATTCCCTTGAACGGGTTCAGGGACAAGGATGCAAAAAATGTGCAGCTGTGGCACGGAATGATTGGGTGTTATGTCATTTATTTTTCAAACTTTTCAATCCCGAATCGACACGTGTCGGACCTATTTTTGAGTCTGATTTTGAATCTATTCCTCTAGCATACTTCTTTTATTTTATTTGCATATACATTTGCATAAAGTCAAAGTGGACACAAGTATAAAATTATTTAGGTGATCGCTTAATGCTTTACCCATATTTTGATTAGGCCTAAAATTTTGACAATTTACATATTTTTACACTTAATTTTTCTTTTTATTAATGAATAATTTTATGTGGTTTTTAGGCAAATATCCAGAAAATCAGGGACCTTTTGAACAAGTAGGTAAAATGTATTTTGCAAGTTAGAAATATCATGATGTTATGAATTAGATGGAAAGAGAAGAAAATCGATTGATTATATGGATTCTGCTAGGTGTACATTTGAAAGCTCCTCAAGAGTTCTAGCAATATTTAAATCATCAATTTATACATCAATAATGACAAATTTAGATATTAATTTCTTTATTTTCTGAAAACTTGAAATATATGCTTCCATAATATTAAATATTTTGGGAATTTACTATAAATATTATCATTCATGCTAGATGAACAGGTTATAATCACATTTTAGATGTATGCATTTTCATTGTAATAAGATCTCAACTTGTGATTGCATCCATTATAGAATAATTTTATCTGCTTGTACAAATCTTTTTGTGAAAATCATTATATTCAAAGCCATTTATAGTATATTTTACAACTTCGATTTTCTTATTTCATTTTCGCATATTTACTACTGGCTTTACACATGTAGGTATTCAGATCGTAGGTTCAAAACCTTCTATTTCTCTAGTAAGTTTAATTTTGCCTAGATCAAAACTTTTTATTTTTCCAATTATTTCTACATCGGTATGCTTCGAAAAAATTATTTAAATATCCTCATTATTCAAATAATATGTAGTACACATGTATAAAAGTGTTGTTAACAACTTTTTCTTTTCGATTAAATATCTTTTTTTATAACGACTTAACTTATTGAGATATCTTCACTTCAATATTTCAAGTAGTTGAACATCTTCTGAAATTTGAAAAAAAAAAAAAATATATCTATATGTTCTTCAAGAATATATGCCTTTTTTTAAATGTGATCATCTTTCTTATTTGCCTCATTTTTCTTTTGAAGATTTTTGTCTTAGAATCAACATCATCTCCCTATAGGCTTGTCATAGATTTATAAAAAAATAATATATTAATGGATTTTCTTTCCAGGATGTCAATTTGAGTTAAAACATTTAAAACTAGTATACGAGAATATCGTCAATCTCTTTGATTAATAAATACATCTAAATAAATTATCTTTTGAATTTCTAGTTCAAATGTCTTGTGAGAGGATCTAAATAATATAATTATGCATTTTATTTATTATTTTCAACTTCTTAATTTCTTTCCTAATGCTATCAGAAATGTCAAATCAAAATGACAATTGAAAAATTGAGTTATAAAGTATAAATCGTTAGAATTTAAGATAAAAAATCGTTAGAATTTAAGATAACTTATAATGGTTCAAACTAAACACGTACTCTTAGCATTCTTTATTGTTCATTTCAATGCATTGTGGTGGAGTGATTTTACATACATTGGACTGTAAAAAATTATTAGATGAAAAATATTAGAAGCCAACTATAATTGGGAAGTGATTGCGTATAAAATAGCATTCCCCGAACAGAAATATGAAGCACTTTGTTCTCAATAGTAATAATCAAGAAATTAATTCAAGATGATGTATAACAAAGAATGGTTCTGAACCATTTATCATCATCCCAAACAACTTTTATCAAAAGTTTCGCTTACCAGCATTAATTAGACGCATATATTTATTGTATAATCTAAAAATTATATTCATAATTTAAATTTGAGCATCTCATAAATTTCAATTTGTTAATATATAATGAAATTGATTAAAAAAATCTCAATACTGATGTGGTAAGAGAACATTACTTATAGTTCTCTCTATTTTAGAAAATCATAATGTTCTCCTACCACATCAACTATGGAAAGTTTTTATTTTGTCCACTGGGACAAGAGATTAAGTTGCTAATATATAATATCACTATACAATCATCTGATAGATGTATTTATTAGATATAAATAATAAATAGATAGTTAATGGAATTGTAAAGGACCCCGCATATTAGGAAATTCAAACCCAATTTTTTGCAAGTGAAGGCCCATTGTTTATATGTTGTCCGAACGAGAAATATGTGGAAATTAATTAGATGGAATTTTCTTTTGATATTTCAATAGATATTCTCAATATTTTCGCATTATTATTGATCCCTGTTTCAAATAATAAAATATTCTGGATATTGAACTTTCAATATAGTATATGTTTCAATTATATTAATATTGTCATTCAAAACTCTTTTTTTTATCATACTTATTTTCAATCACACATTTTCACAATAAAATATTCTGCATATAAATCCAAAATTTTCATACTTTTTAACCATACATTCTTTTAAAAATGATAATTCAAAAACTCATTTTTCCCAAAGAATGACCGTAACACAGGGGCTTAGTAGGTTCATTTTGTATTGAGTGAAAAAACATATTATTGAAACTAGAAATGTTTGTTCATCTGGATCACATAATATTGGCTGTTCTAAAGCCTACAATCTTATTTGTGATCGTCCAAAAATAACTAATCAAGAGGGAGGCGAATTTATTTTTAAATTTTTCGGAAAAAAGAGAGAGCTTAAATTAAGCAAGTTAGAACGCGTGATCTATTATTAATCGTAAGCATATAAAGCAAGTAGATCAATCAAACAATAAACATAGCCCCCGTCTGGCCTTCATTTTTTGAAATGAAAATGGATGGAATAGTATTTTTTTTTGAGTTGTTGAAAAAGAAAAAAAAATTTCGATTTACGTGTAACATTAATTTATGAAAAAATGTGTGGTTGAAAATAGAAGAGAGAAAATTGAAATAGGATTTAATGGGGGCCAAGTGGGGGTATAAAATGAAATAATGATAAGTAAACGGGCAAAGAATTAACAAACAATAATTGTGAAAGTTCGATTCAAAGCAACTATCTATGTCCTCCATTATTAAACTCTCCGGCACAACCAAGTCCTTTTCATTATATTGATTGGCTTATGGTGCAATCCAACTCTTTACAATGCTTTCGGTGAGTCACAAACAAGAAACATTGATCCTTATACAATATTGAGCTTTGCGGGACTTCAATATGACCTACACTATTAAGTTTTACGGGACTTCAATATGACACAATGATGGCTTACAACAAGGAACATCGATCATTGTACTATCAAGTTTTCATGAGACCTCAATATGACCTATAAGTTTAGAGCAATAATTTTACTGTGAAATTTCTCTTTTAATAAATGATACAAATGAATTAAGTATTAAGAGAGACTAACACTTCAATGAATAATATTAAATGATAGCTCAAATGTTAGATAATAATAAAACTTTGATAATATGATGATTTCAAAATTTGATTCAATCAATCAAAGTTTTTCAATGAAAAGATGAAAAAAATAAGTACACAAAAATCTTTTCAAAATATTTCTCCTTTTTAATGAATAATAACGATAAATTAGGTATCATAAAAGAGATAAGAAACTTTGATGAATATAATGATTTTTCAAGTTTGATTCAATCAATCAAAGTTTTGATATAAAGAAGTAGAAGAATTAGATGTAATGTAAGTTCAAAGATTTTCTTCAAAATATATCTTTTATGTGAATGATAGAAATAAGTTTAGTATCAAGAGAGATATGAGAAACTTTTGTGAAGATTGTAATTTAAGAAATTTGAATCAATAATCAAAATATTAAATATGATGAAATAAATGAAATGAA